CCGCGGTTGAGACGCGACAGCACGAGCCCCGACAGGAACCCGCCAGCGGTCAGCCACACCGACAGCGCGAGCGAACGGCTGCTGGCGCCTTCAAGCCATTCGAGACTGGGAAGGGTGATTCCCTCCGACGCCGGCAAACGCCGCCGCAGCCGCCAGCTCTGCAGCAGATACATCAGCCCCGCGACGAAGCCGACCGAGACCGACGCCGCCGCGGCCACGAGCAGCCAGCCGTGGGTCATGCCCCAGAAGCGCGACGCGCGCTCGGGAGCGAAGGGCTCGCTGCTCGCCGTCTGTGAGAGGCCCACGAGCGCCAGCACAATCGGTAGCAGGAACAAGCCCACCGCCCAGCGCGAGTGCGTCAGCGACATCGCCAAGTAGATGGCGGCCAGCACCGCCCCGGCGATCAGGCACCAGTCAGCGGGGCTCGACAGCGGCGTCGCCGCCTTGCTGGCTTGAAGAGAGAGGTACACGAAGTGGGCAAACAACCCCGCGACGGTGAATCCCAAGGTCCCCCACCGCCGTCCCCCCGAAAGCGTCGCCGAAAGCTGCCCCCCCCCACGCCGCCGCACCAGCGCCAGCGCCTCCAGCCCCAGAGCGACGGCGTAGCTCGCGGCAAAGCAGAGGACGGTGATGCGGGAGAGGTCGATCAACGGAATACTTTTCAATCGTACGCTTCGCGGCGGTGTGCCACCTTCACGACAAGAATCGAGAGAACTTGATCCTTGATGCTATAGATGACCCGATAGTCACCTACTCGGATCCGCCAAAGGTCATCGAACCCCTTTAGCTTTAGACAGCCCGGTGGTCGCGGGTCGTCCCCAAGCGTCGCCGCCTTCTTGGCTATCTTGTCCGCAATCTTGCGGGGCAAGCCAGCCATATCTTTTTCTGCGGACTTGATAAAACGGACGTCGTACATCAAGTCGCATCCGCGTCCAGGCCGAGATTCGCCCTAAGCTCTTCGATGCTCACTGAAGGTTCGCCACGACGAGACTCGGCGATCAGGCCATCGTAGTAATCCTCCCAAGTTTGCGAGTGCTCGATGAGGTCAATCACAACGGCCGTTTTCTCGCCCTGCGAGTTGACAATGAATTGGATTCCTTCGAGTTCCATCGCTTTCTCTCCGAATAGGACTTAACCCTTCCCCCCTTCATTATCTCCACCGTCGAGCCCGTAGTCCTTAATTTTCTTGTGGAGCGTGTTGCGGTTAATCCCCAAACGCTGGGCTGCTTTGATCTGGACGCCGTCGCAGGCGCCCAGGACCTGGGAGATCACTTCGCGTTCGACACGGTCGACGATCCGGGCGTGGAGGTCGGTCGCGGCGTCGTCGGCCTTGGAGAGGCCCTCCTCGACGAGTTGCACCGCCAGCGACTCGAAGTCCATCCGGCGGAAGGCGCCGCGGGGGGCGTTCGACTCGCCACGCACGACCGGTGGCAGCAGCTCGAACGTGAGTTCGTCGCCGAGCGCCATGACGACGGCGCGCTCGATGTAGTTCTGTAGCTCGCGGACGTTGCCAGGCCAGGCGTAGTCTTGCAGCGCTTCCATCGCCCGCGGCTCGATGTGGACGACGTAGCGGTCGTTCTCTTCGTTGTAGGCGTTAAGGAAGTGGGTCACGAGCGCCGGGATGTCCTCACGCCGCTGCCGCAGCGGCGGCAGCCAGATCGGCACCACGTTGAGGCGGTAGTAGAGGTCCTCACGGAACTTGCCTTCGGCCGCTTCCTCGGCGAGGTCGCGGTTGCTGGCGGCGACGACGCGCGTATCGACACGGATCGTCTGCGTGTCACCGACGCGCTCGAACTCACGCTCTTGCAACACTCGCAGCAGCTTCACTTGCAAGAGCGGCGTCGTGCTGTTGATCTCGTCGAGGAAGATGGTCCCCGAGTGCGCCGCTTCGAAGCGCCCGGTGCGGTTGTCGATGGCGCCGGTGAACGAGCCGCGGACGTGGCCGAAGAGCTCGCTCTCCAGCAGGTTCTCGCTAAGGGCGCCGCAGTTGACGCGGATGAACGGCCGGTTGCGGCGTTCGCCCAACTTGTGCAGCGCGTGGGCGATCAGCTCCTTACCCGTGCCGGTCTCGCCGAGCAGCAGCACCGACGCCCGGCTCGACGCGGCTTGCCGCGTATTGCGATACACCTCCTGCATCGCTTGGCTCGAGCCAATGATGCCCGGCAAGGTCGCAGCGGCGCCGTTATGGGGGGGCGAGAGCACGGGTGGCTTCTTTTGGAACCGCCAAGACGCCAAGAGCGCCGAGGCTCGCCAGGGGAAGGATGTTCGGGTGGGGTTAACTGTTATCAGCCGTGGGGCCTTAGCCCCCCGGTTCATTATCTTGATCTTATTATTCAAACCGGACGCTAACGCGTGCCGGCTGTTCACTTGCTCTTTGCGATCCTTGCGCTCTTGGCGTCTTGGCGGTTACTTCCCTTTACGTTCGATCGCATCGAGCAGCCGCCCCAGCACCGCTTGGGTCTCCTCCGGCGCGCTCGCGCTGAGGTTGTAGCGGTCGTATTGGCGGCGGATTTGGTCGGTCGTGAGCAGGATGCCGTGCGTGCGGACACTCTCCGTGAAGGCGTCGGCGGCGGCGTTGCGGTCGGTGATCGGGCGGGTTTCGACGCTCGCGGCGTCGAGCAGCCGTTGCTGGCTCTCGGGCGTGCCGAGCGCCACCAGCGTCGCCAGCGATTCTTCGCTCTTACCGAGACCGGCGACGATCGCGATCTGTTCGGCGCGACGATCGAAGCCATAGATGCTCGGGCCGTCGGCGAGGAGCCCGGCGATCGCCTGCTTCGCCGCTTCGGCGTGGCGGAGGCGTGCGTCGGCGTGGGGCCAGTCGGCGGGCGCGAGGGCCACGAGCCGCTGGGCCATCGACGCGGTCGCCTCGGGCGAGTGCGGCCTAGCCAACGCGATGACGCCCGCCGCTTCGCCGCCGTGTTCGTCGGCGATCCGCTGGGCTTCGCTCAATCGGCCGTCAGCGGCGAGCACCGCGATCGGCACGAGCGCCGTCTCGGGCGAACGCCGCAGCCGAAAGATGGTCTCACGGGCGCCGGGGAGGCTCACCGACATGTCGATGAGGACGAGCGTCGTGTCGGGCGATGCGGTGGCGATCCGCAGCGCGTCTTCGCCGCGGTTCGCTGGCAGCGCGACGAACCCCGCGCCCATCAGCCAGCCGGCCGTCTCACCCGCGCGGGCGAGTTGCGGCGAGGCGACGACGGCGATGTCGTCTCCCTCGGCGGCGGCGAGGTAGAGCAGGGCGTCGGCCAAGCGGCTGGAGCCGGCGAAGGGCCGCTGCGGGTTGATGGCGACGATCGCCTCGGCCGCGGCGAAGCGGACGGCGGGGTAGGGCGACTCGAGGGCCTTGGCGAGTGGCGCCAGCTCGCCGTTCGCTGTGTGCAGGGCCGCTTCGTCGCCCCGCTGACCGAGCGTCTGGGCGGCGAGCCGGGCGGCNNGGTTTGCGAGCGAGCGCGTCGCCGAGCACGGCGGAGACGTCCTCGGTCGAAGTCGTGGCGATCGCCCCTTCGTCGCCGGTCTCGAGCGCCAGCAACAGCGCCTGCCGCGCGGGCCGCTTGCCGCCAGGGAGCAACGCGGCTTGGTCCGCAGCAAGTCGGGCGGCGAGTTGGACATTGAAGTTCGCGGGCGCCTCGACGCCGTCGGTGAAGAGCACCGTGCCGGCGAGCAGCTCATCGATCGCCGCATCGAGCCGCCGCAGGGCGTCTTCGTCCGTCGGCAGCTTGCCGGTGAGTTGGCGATAAGCCCAATGGGCGGCTTCGCCCGCGGAGCCAGGTTTGCCAACGCGTCCGGCCACTAGCGCCGGGGCGATCGACGTCCGGATACGGCCCAGTTCCGCCAAGCGGCCAAGGGCATACGCCGCTTCGGTGGCGACCGCTTCGTTGTCGCTGCCGGTCGCTTCAAAAATCGCCGGCTGGCTGATCGGGTCGAGCGCCACCAGCGCCTCGCGCAGCCGCGCGCGGAGCTTGGGGTCATCGGCCTCGGCGAGTTGCGTCATGCAGTAATCGACGCCCGCCTTGCCGGTGAGCCGCAGCGCGCTGATCGCGGCGAGGGCTTGTTCACGTTCGCCGGTGAGCCGATCGACGAGCCCCTGCATTCGCTCGGGCGACGTGGCGGCCGCGCTCGCCGCGGCCAGCGCTTGATCGACGATCGGGGCGGCGGCGGGGACTTCTCGGCCGAGCCGCGCCAGCCGCGCCGTGCCGAGCTGGTCCACGAGCGCGACGTACTGTTCGTCGGATAGCGATAGACCCTCAAGCTCGGTGACAATGGTCTCTGCTTCCTCCACCGCGCCGAGGTCGAGGAGCGTCAGCGCCGCTTCGACGTAGTGTCGTGGCTGCGTGCGGGGCAGCGAGAGCGTCGCCTCGACGGCGGGGCTCGCCGCTTGCGCGACGGTCGTTAGCAGGAGCAGCGTGAACGTCGCGATGGATTTCATGATGGCTTCGTCTCGTTCATCCCCAACCCAGCGTTCGTACCCAGACGATGGCTCCAGAGCTTTACCTGCTCGGCCACCAGCTCGGGGCGGGTCGAGCCGACGCTGCGGAACGCCTGCACGGCGTGCTCGACGCCCAGCACGTTGTAGAGCGACTCGTCGAGTTCGGGGCAAAGCTCTTGGTAGGCCGCCAGCGGCAGGTCCGCGAGCCGCACCTCGGCCTTCATCGCTTGGCCGACCAGCTTGCCGACGATGCCGTGCGCGGTGCGCTGCGGCACGCCGAGGTGGATCAGGTGCTCCATGAACGTGGTGGCGTCGAGGTAGCCGCGGTCCAGCCGCTCGGCGATCGCCTCACGCTTCAGCTCCGACCCCGCGACGAGCGGCGCCGCCAGTTCGAGGCACTTGCGCACCGTGTCCGCCGCGTCGAAGACGCGTTCTTTGTCCTCTTGCAGGTCGCGGTTGTAGGCGAGCGGCAGGCCCTTGGTGAGCACCAGCAGGCTTTGCAGCGAGCCGATCACCCGCGCCGACTTGCCACGTGTCAGCTCGAGGACATCCGGATTGATCTTCTGCGGCATGATCGAGCTGCCGGTGCAGAACTGCTGCGGCAGCTTGATGAAGTTGAACTCCGTGGTGCTCCACAGGATCCACTCCTCGGCCCAGCCCGACAGGTGCACCGCGATCAGCGACAACGCCGCGACGAACTCAATGGCGAAGTCGCGGTCGCTCGACGAGTCGAGGCTGTTCGCCACGAGGCCCTCGAACCCAAGATCATCGGCAACCATCTGGCGGTCGATCGGGATCGTCGTGCCGGCCATCGCAGCGGTGCCCAGCGGCAGCAGGTTCACCCGCTTGCGGCAGTCGGCGAGGCGGTCGCGGTCGCGCTGGTACTTCTCGACGTAGGCGAGCCAGTAGTGGGCCGCCAGCACCGGTTGGGCCCGCTGCAGGTGCGTGTAGCCCGGGAGGATGACGCCTTCGTCTTGGGCGGCGCGGCCGACGAACGCCCGCTGGAGGTCAGCCAGCAACTGGTCGAGCTGATCGATCGCGTCGCGGACCCACATGCGGAAGTCGAGCGACACCTGGTCGTTGCGGCTGCGGCCCGTGTGGAGCTTGCGGCCGACGTCGCCGATGCGGTCCACGAGGGCCCGCTCGATGTTCATGTGGACGTCTTCGAGCTCTTGCTTGAAGACGAACTTGCCGGCGGCGATCTCCCAGCCGATCTGGGTGAGCCCCTCGATGATCTGGTTCTTCTCGTCGTCGGTCAGCACGCCGACGGCGGCGAGCATCGTGGCGTGGGCGACCGAGCCGCGGATGTCCTGCTGGAACAGGCGGCGGTCGTAGGAGACGCTCTCGCTGAACGCCTCGACGCGGGCGTCGGTGGCGGCGTCAAAGACCCCGCCCCACGGCTTGGCCGCGGTGGGAGGGGCAGCCGACGAAGGGGCGGCCGCGGCAGGGTGGTTGTGGCCGTCAGCGGGGCCGGTGGGATCGTCTGCTTGGGCCACTTGCCCTTCCGCGGTGGGGAGACCTGCTGCCGACTCAGGCGGGGGCGCCTCGCGTCGCCACCAACGGCGCCCCCTGGAACCTAGTCGATAGCCTCTCACCCTAGAAACGGCGGGGTTTGCTGTCAACGAGCGGCAGGCAGTCGCCGCCCAAGAATTAGGCAGTTCCCGTCAAGCTGGGTCGTCCCGCCGCGCCGCCACCGGCCCCGGGAAAATTTTGCGGCAATCGCCAAGAACGGCCCCGCCGAGGCGAAAGGCTTCGGATACGTCTCGTGTAAACTGCCGTGATCGGGCCCCCGACGCGCGCCCCCCGGCTAGCGGAGATTCCTCCTATGCTCCCGTCTCTTCCCAGCCTTATTGAGAACCTGCCGCTGTTCGCCCAGGCGATGGACCCTTCGACTCAGGAAAGCGTCTTCAGCCGCCTGCTGGATATCCCGCCGCCGTTCAACATGGTGGTGCTGATCGTCGCCTTCGGCTGTGGCGCCTCGGTCATCAAGGGGGTCGTTAAGCAGGTCCGCATCTTCGCCGACAACGAAGCCGACCGCCGCCTCAAGCGCGAGATGATCGAAAGCGGCCTTGCCGTCGATGAGGCCGAGCGGATCGCCGCGATGCCGATAAAACACGCCTCGCCAACGGCTTGAGTCCCTCCAGCGGCCATAAGTTCGAATCGCTTAACCCCCACTTCTCACGGAGACACCGCCATGATCCACCCGCTCCTTTCGGAGGGTCTGATCACCACCATCTTCAGCGACATGAATGCCGACCTGAAGTTTGTGCTGGTGATCAGCACGATCGGTTGTCTCACGGCGATCGCCATTGCCGTCGGCGTCTCGGCCGCGAAGGCGTGGGAGTCGGTCCGGCGGCGTGAAACCGAGGTCGAGTTGATGCGCGACATGCTCGATCAAGGGAAGTCCGCCGAAGAGATCGAGCGTCTCCTGCAAAGCCCAACACGGTCGCTCAAGCGTTCGCAAAGGGTGACCGTGGGACGCAGCGCAGCGTCGGCCGACTGACCCCCCGGTCGCGGGAGGGTCGAGTCAGGAGTTCTCGGATACGCTCGCTGCCGTGCCGCGATTGGCACGACGGTTGCTCAATCGGTAGATCGAGTAACGAAATAGCGCACGCCCCCGCCGCAGCCCCCCACCCGCTGCATTGCGTGCCCCGAGAAAAGACGCCCCGCCCGCTAGGCGCTGCGTCTCCCGCCTTCCCCGCCCTGCGGCCCCCCTAGCGGACTGTCCTCATGCGCCCGTTGCTAATTGTTTTGGCAGGCCTTTGCGCCTCGACCGCCACGTCGCTCGCCGTCTACGCAGCCGTGCAGCTGGA